AAAGACTGCATTAAATACCCCTATTGGAGACAAAAACTCACACATTGCAGTTGATATGAGTCACCCTCACTAAGGTGGCGACACTGAACATACACCCCCCTACCCCCCAGGGTGTTACCATCCACAAGCAGACATAAAGATCAGACATACAGACCTGCAAACTGCTACAGACTGCTGTGTTTTTGTGTTTTTCTGCTGGATGGACAAGCTGACAGACACATAGACAGTGCGGGGCAGAAGAAGGGGTTGACTGTGCAAAACTGTGCATGCCAGAAAGCCAGCCACTCTTCTGGGAACGTAAAGATGGTAAAAGAGATAGGAATGAGGGTGGGTGGACCCTCTGTGAGCCAAATGAGAGGAATGAGATCTGAGGGAGAGATGGGGGAGAGGGTCAGGGAAGAGAGAGCACACACATTCAGCAGGGAGAAAAGAAAAAAAAGGAGAGAGAGACTAAATAAAGAAAAAGAAAATAAGAGAGCGCAGACTAGTTGGGACATGAAAGCAGTCCGGGAAACCAGCTCTTACAGTAAACAGAGGCAAAACGGAGCTTGAAATGTCAGCAAACATTTGTCTTGCTCATATCCCAAGTTTCACAGAAGCCAATCATAAGCTGAAGCAGAAATGTCGCAGACTGTAATTCAAACATTAAACGTACCGATGGTGGAAATGTACGTAGAGTTGAAATTGTCCTCAGCAAAACGAATGATCAGACACGTTTTTCCCACTCCGCTGTCCCCGATGAGTAACAGTTTGAAAAGGAAATCATACTTTTTCGCCATGGTCGAAGTTGTTCTTCAAGCAGAAGTCAAAGCAGGAGCGGGGAAAGTTTGGTCTGTCTCTTCACCGGAGATCTTCTCATCCACCACCAAACGCGTTAAATCTCGATTTCTTTTCCTTGTGACTTAAAATAAGCAATCTCCTGCGAGTGGATCCTCTTCTTTTTCCTCTTTTCACTCTCAGACTTGTCACCGGTAAATTCCGATCCTCCTCCGTGTTGTGTTTGGACTGCGCAGGATAAAGTTGTACAGACTCTTTCAGATCAGCCCTCATGTATTAAAGTTTCATTCCGCTGCAATTAGACAGTCGTTATTATCCCGTTTACAAGCATATCGGGGTGGAAACAAGTTTATCCAGTCTGCAGAAATACCACTTTAAAAAAAAGAAAACGGAACTTGCTGTCGGCCCCAATCCCACAGCAGCTACGTGTGGGAGAGCTTTATGGGAGTGAACGGTTCACAGTTCGCAGGCACTCACTCAGCACGGACACTAGGTGGCACCATTTGATCAGTAAACACGTGTGTATGGACCGATACAAGTGAAAAAGTTGGTTTAAACAACATGTGCTCTTTCCTTACACCCTCCATGAAATAAAATGATATTAATAAATCTATAATCTATAATCATGGGGTTTTCTTGTTGAGAAATGCTCTTGGATAACTCTAACAGCATTGCTCAACTTTGATTCCTTCTCAGTCATTTGATTATTAAAGGAAATAATCAGGAATTGAGGTTGAAGTAAAAAAATATTCAAAAACAGTAAAATGCTGCTTAAAGTCCTTCTGCATTCATGTAATTCTCCCTCACTGAAGAGTACTTTTACTTAAACCTTTACTTAAGTAACATAATGCAGGGCCTTTACTTGGAGTACGTTTTAAGTGAATACTTAGTACCCTTAATAAGACAAAGCAATACAAAGCTAACATTGTTTAGGAAGCTTAATCAAATAACAACTAATGTTCTACATCCCTGCAAGAAAGAGACTGTTGGATATCAGAGTCATCGTTTAAAATGTGACCACCAAGCATGAAAGTTGGCCTCGACAGAAGAATATATGTAAAATGACACTTTCTTAATTCTGCTCAGTGCTTTTGTAGCTCCAGTCTAACCTGCACCACCTACAGGAAGAGAAGCACACTGTAACTTTCCCCAGGTGTCACCTGCAGGTAACAACAGTTCCCCTCTGACTTTATCGGGTGTCTATGTCTCTAGACCAGAGGTCATTTTAGTTCATACAGGCCGGACCACTAAAGCCAACTTAGATTTATTTATCTAATATCTCTGTTTGTGTGTTACCATCCAACCCTGCAGATTACAGCGGGTTCACAGAGGCACACTTTTTACATGTAAAGTATTTTGGAACATAAAAAAATATATTTTTACTGTCCTTTATTTTCCACTCCTAGTGGATGCTGACATCATTACATTGAATTTATTTTACTGAGTGAAAAAACAAACAAACAAACAAACAAACATGGTTTTAAAGACTTCTTTATAACGACACTTTGAAAAATCGTGCTGATGGTCGATTTGGGGCATTTGATAGCCCAGTCCTTGCTCCCCTGACTTATAACAAAAATTGTTAACTTGAGCATATTCAGACGGACACACTTAAGGGTTTAAGCTCGCGTGTTTCACGTGTAGATGATGAGGGGTCTGACCTACTTTTCAACAATTCTAATTGTTGAAAAAAGTATTTACATTACAGGATAATCGTCTGCTTTGTCAGGAAATCGCTATACAGTTAGAAGATTTAATCAAATGCGACAGAAAAACATGAAAATTGTATTCACGGTGTATTTACACGATTAAGTTATTTTCAAGCATTCATTTGATGTTATCTAACGAATAATTTCACGTAAACACCGACGAGTATTTTTATTTTTTCTTCCTCCAGGTCTTCCTCCCAGTCAGTCAGCAGTTTCCGGTACGTGGACAGCGAGTCTTTTTCCGGTGAGAGTCCAAACACGCAGACATGCCTGTAAGTAACAAAAGCGTCTTTGTACCTACTAACTTGCCTCAGTCGATAAAGTGTGCTTTTATAACGCGGTTAAAATATTTTACAGCTTAAAAAGTGCGTTTAAAAAAAAATCCGTCAGCAGTTTTTTTTCCTTTAATGTAAACGTAAAGATGTGAACGAGCGCAATATGGCGAAACACGTGCTCAACGAGCAACCCACGAGGCTCGCTGACAGCACACGGTATCGCTTTAAGTCTCAGCATTGAGTGTATTTAATGTCTTTATTGGGGAGGAAGCTGGTTAATGTCGCGCATTAATGTTAGTCAGCAGTCTGATAACTGGGTGTCGTGCTCGTCTGATTACCTGTGACATATGTTGGGTGTTGTGGGGGTTAATTAAACTCTTAACGATGTTTCATCTGATCGCTTTTTTTTTTTTAACGGCATCGCTGCGATTGCTTCAAGAGTATTCCGATAATTTCATTTTAACACTTTCCAGTTTCCTTATCCGAGAAGTGTATCGAGGTCTCGACCTTTGCCTCGCTGTAACTGAGGCCTACAGCCGCAGCAGTTTAATTACATGTTAAAGCACCTTCCGGTTAATTTTTTTTAATAAAAAATTAATTAATTAATTTCAAAACCCCGGGTTAAAATAAAATAAAATGAAAAAAAAAGTTGCTTTCCTCCCCCAGCTCGCAAAGGATCTTTTGCACCCAACCCCCGAGCAGGAAAAGAGACGACACAAGAAAAAGCGTCTTGTTCAGAGTCCCAACTCCTATTTTATGGATGTCAAATGTCCAGGTCAGTTTACTTATGAGTTGTACTTAAGATTTAAATGGAAACATGTCCACTAACAATAAGCACATTTGCTTGAGTTCTGCAGCTAATTACAGATTTAAATCAAAGTGGTGTATTTCCCATTTGCAAGTCATGGTGCAGGAGAAGTATTTACTTGGGTAATTTAATGTTTTGGAAAACCTTTGAGCACTTCTTCCACTCCTGTGCTACACTTGCCTTTATGTGTTGCCCTTTCATTGCTTCGTTAGTGTCAAGGGTGTCAAGTAAGGCATACAGTGACGGTTGTGGCCGTTTGTGACATGAGCTTCAAGTGACTCTTCTACACAAACGGCTGCAACGACACACCAGTCATCAGGAGTACTCCTGACATCTTGTTGTTGTTGTTGTTGTTTAACTGGTTTGTGTGCTGTTTGCAGGGTGCTACAAGATCACCACAGTCTTCAGTCATGCTCAGACTGTAGTTCTGTGTGTCGGCTGCTCCACGGTCCTGTGCCAGCCGACAGGAGGGAAAGCTCGCCTGACAGAAGGTACAGGAAAACCAGAAATCTCAACTATATGTGTAGAACTACACAAATGGCGAGAGCGGGGTGGTGCTTAAAGATTTAAATTTGGGATTCTTTTGGAGGATTCTCTAATGGCAACGATAGAGAGGGGAAACAACTTTTAAAAGCTTGTTTTTCAAAACATTTTCGGGAGTTTTTGTCTAAATCTAATATTTTTTGCATTTGATGCAAATTTAGACCGAAGCTACTTTTAGCTGCCCCCATGTTTGTTTCGGCAGAGTTGTGTTGGGTGGTGTTCTTCCTGATGTAATCTAGATTTGTCTCCCCTCTGGGGTGACGGTTGCTCTGGATTGGCACTACGTAAATAAAACTGAATTATATTTTAATGACCCAAGGCAGAAGCTTTTCCCTAAATCCCCAGATTTTGTGGCCGGAGATGAGTGGTCGAACTTGACTGTACACACGCTCAGTTACTCTTTCACATTTGCCTTTGTGTTGCCCTTTCATTGTTTTCTTCATGAACAGGGTGTCAACTAAGGCATACAGTAACTCTTGTGGTTGTGAGAGGAATTCATCATCACTGATCTATTCCTACACAATCGGCTGCAAGCACAACGTTTCATTTACACACATTTTAATTAATTTATTTTTTTCAGATTAACAGGTAGGCCCAGTATAGATTTAAGGTGATAGGTCTCCTTTAAAGAGGACATGAAATGAAATGGGGAAAATCCAGCTGTTACCTGTAATATTTGGGTTTGTAAAGCACTGTATAAATGAGGAGCGATTGGAGGAGAGCCTGTTTGAGTCACCAGGCCGACACGTTGGAGTTCAGCATTTCCAGCTTTTCCTCATCAGGCCGGGTGTACCGAGCTGTGCAGTCAAGCAAAGCAGATGTTCGCATGATGCGATCAGCACTTTTTTTTGTGCAATAAAATATTTTCTTTTCCCAACACAGCCAAGCAGTTTATAATATTACAAGTCACTACATGTGCGTCACATAACTATTTCTTAACAAATGCAACTGGAAATCCCAACATTCATCAGCATGTACGCAGGGAAAAAATCTCCACCTTACAGTTTCCTTCACTTACATTTCCTCACTTCTAAACTGAAGTAATCCAGTCAGTGAGATGACGTGAGGAAAATACAAAAGATCTCCAAAAAGTATGGCATCTCTTCCTCTGAGCCTCGACTACTTTTTTTTTCTTCTTTTCCTTCCTTTTGCACACGTTGACCTATTTTCCCTGCAGACGTGATGGGATTCCTGGTCGTGCTTCGCTAAGAAACA